AGGGAATATTATTATTTACCTTGATGTGATTATAAGGTGTTTTTAGTTAGAGGTACTTGTGTTCAGGCCTAGTTTTCTTACTACTCGCCATTAAGACACAGTTTAAAAGTGTTAGGAAATGTATGGCTCAAACACAATTTCATTTAGTAGAAGTCATATTTTAGTGCAAAAAAAAGAAGAGAGCAATTGGTATTATTTATTTATGAAAGCAAACATGACCTCCATTCCACCTATTTATATCATACACTGGTATTTCAACTGTGTACTCTTAAAGTAGATCTGCTGTAAAAAGATGACCCTGCCTTATTTATGAGCAGAACAGAGATAACAGTGGTCAAAATGCTTATAATTTGATTTCCTGGTATTTTTATCAGCCTTGCTAATGCATTTCGGCTGAAAATACTGAAGCTGACAATATGTAATTTTTGGATACTGTGTTAATGTCAGATTTTCTGTAATTCAGCATTTGTAACTGTTGTTTTCACTTCTCAGGGAGTCTTTCACTCCACATGTACTGCCTCAGACATTCCTGTGCAAGTGCATAATTCATCCATTTAATTTGCACAAACATTTGTTTCTTCTCATTAAATGGTAGTTTCCTGTATCAGAAATTTAATGTCCTCTCTAATTGTAGGGTTATCAAAATTAGAAAATAATCTATTTTTATATGCTAAGCAAATTTGGGGTTTTGGAATTCTGGTAAAACACCTAACTTGATTTGTTTCATATTGCTTTTAAATTTTGACTTCAGGTTGTTTGCAAATTAGTACTTTGACATTTTCATCACATAATGACATACTAACCCTACCCCTTCAGCTGTGATGAAAAACGTTATTAAGATTGCAATGACAAGCTTTCACAGGCTAGGGAAAAAAACTGGCATCTTGTCTAAATTCTGCCTTCCTAACTTGGCCTTTACCTTAGTTGAAGGCATTACAATATTGCCTTTAATTATATGAAGAAAGTCTCTTTTCTCTTGCCTGATTTAATATCCAAAGTACATCTCTTTGGTAGATGAATTAGAATTGTATAACGAAAAAATGCTGGGCTTTTTGTGGAAGTTGGAAAGTATTAAAAAAGCTGGATTAGATATGCCAGGAAAAAAAGGATGTCTATATTACAGCAGTGGAAGTTTGCCTTGAAGAAAAGGTTTCCTCTTTTCTCTGCTGCAGTATTTCTGGACCAGTTATCAAAATCAAACTTTTCACAGATGGTCACTGATTTTCTTGTGGCAAATGTTCTGAACACAGAGCCAAACACCAGGACACTGGGAGCTGGGCCTTGAGCATGAAAACATGATTTCACAGGCATGATGTCCACAGCGAGCATGTACATTTGGCCTCAATCTTTTAAAGCCTGTGTTTCAAGACGCTCCTCATCACTCAGGATACTTTAAAGTAGGTTGTATTATGATTTTGAAGGATAATAATAAAATAGTGAATAGACGTTTTGTCTCCAGCTAAGCGTTTAAACTATGTATGCAAGCCATGGGTATGTGCTGAATATGAGGAGAAAAAAAAATAGTTGTTCATTACAAGTAGAATCCTCCTAAACAGGGGTGTGCAGGTGGTCTACAAAAAAGCAAAAAGTTAAAACATGTTGAAAAAAAAAGTAAGGAAGCCTACTGACAGCTACATAATCATACTGAGAATATCTAAAATGGGAGTTCCCAGACTATGGTATGTTTGATACTAGTGGTATGAAAACTATTTAAAAGTGATCTTCAAATAAAATCTGAACATCTGAGCAGAAGAAAAGATTCCTCCTGCATTTAAGTTCCTTTGATCACATTCCCATAGGAAACTGGGGCATAGATTTGGTCTAGTTTGGTACATACTACATTTCCACCACTGTCACTAATGCAGTAAAATGAAATTCTCTTCCAAAAACAATCTAATATGGTTAGTCTAGGCTTAAAGGATGCCCTGTTAAACACCAGATTCCATCAGCTCAAGTACATCTCTATGTTATACACTCATTCTCCCATTTCCCTTTTCCATTGTCATAGAAAATGATGTCAAATGGCATTGTGTCCTTCTAAGAATATTGTAAGGTGTACTTCACAGACTTTTACCAAGTGAGCAAATGGAGAGAGAACAGGAGTAACTGGTTGTCTCGTGTAATTTTGTAGTAATTTGCTGACAGCTAATGAATTGAGCATTACATTCCATCCCAGGCATTCTGGTGCACGATCTTGTAGGCAAAGAGCTTTCGCCTCCTATTCCTTAAACACATCCCAGATTTTCTTATTCTTAGCTTTTAATTTCATCTGATTTTAACTACCTGGCATTCACAGTTTGTATTCTCCAAACTTCTCAGAGCTCCTGCCTCCTTGATCAGCGAGTCTGCTCTCCTTCTCCTACCCCAGTTACCACCTTCCTTTTCTCCATCCTGTCTCCCTGTGTGGCCAAGGGCCCAAGTCATTATCCAAGTCTCATGTTTTGTTCAGATACTCGGGCTCCTCATGACTTTATCGCAGTACTCTTTAGAGCTTTATCACACAAATCCACCTTTTCAGTGAGCAAATGGAATCACTGAATCATAGAATCATATTGGAAGGACCTTTAAAGGTCATCCAGTCCAACACCCCTGCAATGAACAGGAACATGCATGGCTAGATCAGGTTGCCCAGGGCCTGTTCCAGCCTTGCCTTGAAAGTTTCCAGGGACAGGGCATCCTCCACTTCTCTAGGTGGAGAACTGGAGGACCTGTTCCCATGTCTCACCACCCCCCATGTAAAAGACTTTTTCCTTTTATCCAACCTAAATCTGCCTTCCCTGAGCTTGAAGCCACTTCCCCTTTTACTGTCACCACAGCCCCTGCTAAAGAGTCTGTTCTCTTCTTTCCTGAAGCTCCCCTTTTACATATTGAAAGGCCTCTATCAGATCACCTCAGAGCTTTCTCTTTTCCAGGCTCAACAGCCGCAGCTCTTTCAGCCTGTCCTCTTAGGAGAGGTGTTCTATCACTTGGATCATTTTGTGGCCCTCCTCTGGACGTGCTCCAACAGGACTATGTTTTTCCTGTACTGAGGACTCAGTGCTCCAGGTGAGGACCCACCAGAACGGAGTGGAGGGGCGGTATCACTTTCCTCATCATGCTGGCCACGATATTTCAAAGCAAGTTTTTCTGCAAGTTTAGTAAGTATGGTAAAATGTTTAGCAATTGAAAATAAAATATACATCCATAAAATCATAAGTACTCTCAATCAAATAGTGAATATGCACACAGTATAGGATAAATCCTTTCAACGGTTATTTCAAGCAGCCTTAAGTGTAAAACTAATTTTCTGTACTTTAAATGCCAAACTTAATAAAACAATTCTATTATAATAAGGTTGCTAGGTAGATATTTACATTTAATAAACATATTTGAATACTTTGTATCATCATATACTCTATAACTATGAAAGCACTTATGTCAATACATATGATTATGTAAACTAAAAGCATAGGTACAAGCTTAAGCAATTTTGCTTAGGTGACATTATCTAAACAGTGAAAATTTCTTAAATTGATTATACCCAAATAATGGGTAAACCAGAAATTAGTCATGCTGTCATTAACTAATCAATTAAAATGTTGCTATACATTCAAGAACCAGGCTTGAACTTAAAAACTTATTAAAAATAATGCATTCCTATTTCTCTTGAAATATTTATTCATCTGAAAATTTATTCAAACAGGAGCAAGTATACATTTAATTGATAAAGACATATAAATGTACAGTGATCTTTGGATCAATACGCCAGAATTAGTAGTAGAAAGTAAGTTCTAACCAATGTATAAAACTAAATGAATAGAAATATAACTCATTTAGTATTTCCAACACTGTGGTAAACAACAAGTAGCATTTTAATGGCTTCCACAACTGACAAAGGAAAAATGCATTCATTCTTCCCATTCTACATGTCATGGCTGCTCCTAAAGTAATGCCTCCTATTTTATTATGCTGGCCTACAACATCAGAGGTGAATGTTGATGGTATGGCAGTGGAGGCTGAACCTTCCCACCAATATTCCTTTACATGTTGTGTGACAGATGGCAGCAAAAGGGCAGTCTGGCAGAATGGCATCTGACATGGAAGTGCTTATGGAGCAAAGGTGTGTCATTGAATTCTTCCATGCAGAAAAAATTGCATCCCTTGACAAGCATTGATGCTTTCTCAATATTTATGGACACCAAACAATGAGTGTGAGCACAGTGAGGCAGTGGGTGATGCTTTTTATCAGTGACAACGATGTGAAAGACAAACCATATTCCGGACAGCTATGCATATTTTTTGAGTGTAGCATGCAGGCTCTTGTTCATCGATGGCAGAAGTGAATAGACAGTGGTGATGACTATGTTGAAAAACTGTGTTTTGTAGAGATTTTGCTCTATCAAACAGTGTTATTGTGCTCTTTGTGTATGTTGTAGTTTCCACAGAAATAAATAGAAGGCATTACCTTCAGAGCAATCTACATAATATAAATATAATTGCATAAATGAGTGTACATGTTTGAGTATATAGTTATGCATTCATAAATATACATATTCATTTAAAAATTGTGCTGTAGCATATTACAATGTGATTAATATGGGATAATTTTAAAATAATTTTATTGGGCAATCAGTGCTAATAGAGAATCACAGAATCACAGTTAAGGCTGGAAGGGACCTCTGGAGGCCATCTGGTCCAAATCCCCTGCTCAAGCAGGGCCACCTAGAGCAGACTGCCCAGCGAAATCTATTCATGTTTCATAATCAATGCACTGCTATTGTTCAGTAAAATTATTTTTTAAAAAATTCATTGTAGTCAATTAAAAACTAATACACTTAGGTAACAATCATTGGCAATCACTGGCTTACATGAGTAAGACAGTTCTTTTGCTGTCTTTAAACATAACATAAAAATTAAAAACTGTACAATATATACTAATATATTGTATGTTGATGGAGTCCCAAGCAGAGATGCCTGTGAAGCTACTGCACTTCCAGTACTATCTAGTACTTACAGATATGTCTGAATGCTTAACTTCACTGATGCTTCTGAGGAGAGAAAAACAAGGAATTAGGCAATGTCTGCTGAATATTTAGGAAAATATTCTGATGCATAGCTGAAGTAGTAGGAAATCTGTAAAACCAGTCCATAGAAATGCTCTGTGGTTTATTAGGCTGTAGAGGAGGTAAAATCTTTCCTGTGATTAAATCGCTGTTTGCATTCCACTTTTGGTATTCATGCATAAACTGCAGTCTGTCAGCATGGAGTATTTTCCACAGAGGATCTTGAAAATAATGTGTTTGATAAAATACACCTGGTGCTGGGTAGGAGAGATAGTGTCCCCATGGCGTGAAATAATTCATAGCAAGGGAATGCTCTAACTCCTTCTGACGTCCTCGCTTTCGTGCCCGTCGGTGTTGCCTGAAGTCCCCATGAACAAAGTCATTTAAGTTTGCTGGGTGGATACTCCAGTAGTTCCCCTTGCCATCCTCACATCTTCCCACCTTGATGAAACAGTCATTTAGTGAAAGGTTGTGCCGCACACTGTTTCTCCAGCCTCGACCTTTGTTCCGGTAGAAAGGAAAATTATCTTCAATATATTTGTAGATAGCAGCTAAATTCAGTTTATTTGCAGGGGAAGAAAGAATTGCCTTTGCAATTAAGGCTATGTAAGATAGGGGTGGTTTTTCCAGAAATTTTCCTTCATCCACAGGTACAGAAAGACCACTTTTGGTGCACGTGTGTGAGCTGGGAATCTGGGCTGGAATCCCATGAACCAGATTTCCATCTTCTCCTGCTGTAGTAAGTATGGCTGGACTTCCTTCATTGTTTTCAGAATAGTCTTCAGTCATTATAGCAGCATGAAGTCTAGCAGTTATTTTAAGTGTCCTGATATTTTACTGTAAGCATTCAGTTGAATAATTGGTTCATTGAATATAAGCAGCAGGAGAAAAGGAAGCAGGACTTTAAATATGCTGCTATCGTGCACATAGATTCCTATTTTATACTCTGTTAAGTCAACAATGAAAACTGAACTGCCAATGTTTACAAAAGTCAAGGTGAGAATCGTAGCTGAATGAAAAAAATATAAAATAATTATACTATGTTAAGTATGAAGATAAACAGACCATGACGTTAGCCTTTTACTTCATTATAATCTGAGAAAACACCCTTCAGTGTTCCCCATTGAAATGTAATGATTAATGAAAAAATGACTGTGGCTTGATAGCGTTGTGAAAGGATTAGACCCTTCACTGATATGCAGAACAAATTGAAATCAACATGTTGGTTCCTGTGTTCTACACCTAGTCAAGCATGTTGTATTTAGTACAACAAACATTTGTTTTACGCCCTAAAAGAAAGTACTGTATGACACTTGCTATCAAATTTGGTAGCTGCAGGATACCTACTCTTGATGAAATTGAATTAAATTAAATTAAAGCACAAAAAACCCATGTAACTTTCTGGTCCTGGTTGTGCAACTAGTTTTAAGCTGAGCATACATGTGATCCATCTTTCTGACCCAAGAAACCACTTGAGGGAGCAAGTAGCACTCAAAGTGAGTGAGTGCTATGCACTGGGACCCCAATGCATGAACTACCACTTGAACTTTGACACAGCCCTTCGAGTCCTGAGTTCTGACTAGTAAGGATAAGACAATCATCTCTAAAGTAAAACAAAACAAAGTGGAAGAAGTTTTGAAAGAAAACCTTGCTTCTCAGAATTATTATTCTCTTTGGTTATTGGGTTGTCTTCTTTTGGGTCACTTCTGATGTTCAAAATGCATATTCTCAAATGAGATCATCATTTCAAGGCCTCAGGGATTCAATCTTACAAGGCTGAAGTTGATATTGTTCATGCTTTGCCGCCTTCCAAAAATAACTCTTGGCGCTTCCTTCAAGTACGAATTCTAGCAAAAAACAGAGACAGAGGGCTAGACTACCATTAAACTGATCTCTTTCTCTTTGAGCTTGGAGTTTACATCTTAGTTGATCATCTTGATTGGACACTTGCAACCATTTCTCAGACTCTAAAATCCACTAGCTTCTGGTTCAGTTGGTAGCCACTATGTTTTTACATCAGGAAACAAGACTCATAATGTAATGCCATCGTCCACATTGGTCTTAGTTATGACTTCTTTTGAAGGCATTCTTTTGACCTGTCCTATCCCTACTAGAAAATTCCTTCCTGGCACATCCACAAGTTGCAACCATCTTTCCATCATGTTGGTGGCTTTTCACAGCCTTCTGATGACTTATTTATCGGTTTTGTTCTCCTTCTCTCTTACTTTTAGCGAAAGAATTGTGATATGATGGCAGAAACTGTTGAGGTTATCTCTGAAGGGTGTGACCTGGCACTTTAGATTGTTTATTACAGATCAGCACATTTCTGTTACTGCATCCAAAAGCCAGCCAGGTATGAATGGGTTTCTACAATAATAACATCAAAAGTTTGATTTCACCAGATTCAGTGCAGGTTATATGGTTATTTCTGGTGAGATATGTGTCTTTATGGAACAACTGCAGACTGGAGAATACATCACTTTGACAGGGACTATATATTCCTTCCTTTGTTTTCAACAAAGAAGCACAGAAACAAGCACGTTCTGCTACTTTAGTACCCACTTTTTAACTGTAGAGAATTTTAGACCGGACTTTGAGTATCTACAAGTACTCAAATTAAATAAATAAGGAAAAACCATCTTATTGAGGTTTTCAATCTTAAGGGCAGGCTTTTAGAAACTGAAGAAACTGAGGTTATTAAAGGGAGCCAAACTAAAGAGATCAGGAATGTAAGCACAGTAAAGACTCAAAAATCAAAAGCACAGAAGTTGAACTCAAATCCTAAGCAAGAAGAAATGTGTAGAAAAGGGCTCCATACCTGAGCAGATGAATAATCCTGTCAGCAAATAATACAAGGAAAGAAAGATGTTAAGAAGAATAAAAGATAAAAAGATGAACAAAAGAGAAATATTCTGAGGAGCTAAAACCCCTGATCTCTGATGTAAAGATTTTCAGGCATGCCCACAAAGAAAATATCCACCCCATATTTCTGTTTGTTTCTCCTTGCTCCATGCTATTTCTGGAATTGATTTTGTTTTCCTTTGAGTCCTATCTTTAAAGGTGAAAGAGTGAAAAACTCTCCAAATCAAGGTTTCTTGTACAAAATATAAGGCAAATTCCCTGTTTTATGCCTATTCTTGGTAGGATTTTTCTAGTCACTGCCTGAAAAGTCTGCAAAGCTTTGACATGAGAGTGAGAACTACTCTCACTTAGTCAATGTCCAATTTTATCTGAAAAGAAGAAACAGATGCAGAGAAAGTATACTGTCTGTTTTTCCTATACAGATTTTCTCTAACTTGGGAAAGCAGATTTTTCTTCAAAAAAACTTACATAACTTATTAAAGGAGTATTTTTTTACTATATTTTTATATCATTGATAAAATTCTCAGAATCCTGGGATTTCCCACGAGAAAGCATAAAAAAATAAAAGGATAGATTTATCAAGTAGATGTGTGAAATTCTTTTCATTTTGATTTATAATAAATTAAATGTACTTGAAGAGATGAACCTGGAAACTGGAGTATTTGGGAATTCTGGTACAGTAATCTATTCTGAATTTTCACTGTGCTGAGAACGTCTTGATTGTCTTTTCCTCTGTCGCTGTTTTCCTCTCTATCATCAGTTAAGGTTAAAGAGAGTTAGAGTGTTTTGTTGGTTGCTTAGCTGACAAAATCCCCTTAGGATGATACTAATGTTCATATTTTAAAAATATATTTACAAAGTTTGCAATTTTTCCACTTGTCTCTGTAAAAAAAGCACAAATGTTGAAGAGTGACCTGGCTTCTACTTTGGATCACATATTAACAAAGTAAATTACCAATTGTACATAGGACAAAGTATTTTAAAAAGTACTGCGAGTCATACAATCTATAACAAAGATCAGAAAACAACCGAGGCAGCTTTTCTCCTCGCTCAGCCTTTATTACTGATATTTAGCTTCACTCATGTGAAATTTAGACAAATAACTTGCTTAAGTGAAATAGCTCCATAGCTCTATACATTTTGAGAATGAATTGCTGTTTCAAAATCTCTCTCAATATTTGCCAGCAATGTTTTTGTGTGTGTGTGTTTGTGTATGTGTTTTTTTTTTTTTTCCTAAAGGATTTAACCTTACTTCTTCTACCTCTTGTTTAGCAATTTTGACCATTCAGCAGTCAACTGGAACAGTGTTTTCTGCAAAGGAAAAATGTTTTTATGCTTTATCCTAATAGATTTATTAAATAGCAGTGAAGTAAGTAATACATCTCACACTCCCAGCTGAAGAAATGCAGTTCTTTAGGGCATTAGGGAATGCCCCAGCCAAGTGGAACCAGATTTTATACTACTCTTTAGTCTGTGCTTAAGATGTAGTTGTTTTTCAGTTGACATAGAAAGGTATATTATATTCCAGATAGGGCTAAGAAAGATCATCTGGCCAGTGGTAACAATAAATATGCCAAAAACATAGGCAGGTGCAAGCTATTTTTAATTAAAGTTCTATTTGGCTATTGCTTTTGGTGTTCTGCTGTGTGTTTGATTATGTCTAAGCCTGCTGTCTCCATAACATTCTCCTCTGTAATGTTTACTATGCTGTTCACTGAAGAAGCAACCCCGCATGATGCCATCTTATTTTCTGCACATTCTTACTGTATTCTACCTCCTATTTCCATCCAAGCTAATTAAACAGTATTTAAGAACATCTGTAAAACATGTGCTTTGATTCAACATTTGAATTTAATATGTGCAAAAAAAGGTAAGGAAGATGAGGATTCAGAAAGTAATTGATCAAGGAAATTACCCCTTGAAGAAGTTCTTAAATTATCTGTTGCTGATACAATCCAAAAGGAAATTCTTATTCTGTCATCTGACTTAAGTATTTTGGGCACCATACAGCAAGATGCAGAGAAAAAGCAAGATATTTTCATTTATTTTTTGTACTGCATTTTTCATAGCAATAATTTTACAGTGTTAATGCAATTCTTACATGCACAGTAATACTTGCTTTGGTGTACCTTTCTATACCCATCTGGTTAAATACTTACTGACACCCTCATGAAAAGTCTAACGTGGAACAAACTTCCCAGGCAAGCCCTAGGTCAGGTGGAGGAACAGTTTAAGTCTCTACCCCACTGCACTGAGGATTAGGCTTGTGGATTGAAAATCACTTTCCAACAAAATTTTCCTCTGTTCTCAGCTATGTTTCTTGACCTCCATCTTTGTAACCGCTCACATTTATTCCTTGTACAAATATTCTTTTCCTTCTTTTGTTCTGTTTTGTTTTTTATTTCTTATTCAATGTTTTTTTTTTTTTTTTTTTTTTTTTCCCATTTTTTAATTTGTTTTTTAACTGGCCAGAGTACATGCTGTTTCTCTCACTAAATAATGGCACAAGAATGAAAATCTGGTACTCGGTGGTACCCCTTAGGCTAAACTGATAAATAACCCTTTGTTTCCCAGCTCCCATGTTCATTTACTTTCAGGGTAGGTGAATTCAATGAATGGCATGACAGTTACATATGCACAGGCTTGTCTGAGTTGATTAAAGTCATTGTTATTTCTTGTTTATAGAAGTGTCCATGAAACAGAAATAAAAGTAACCATTAGGGGAATAATGTCATAAATAAGTTCTCCCTGTTTGTATAATTACTACTGTAGTATTTTCTTAGAGAAATAGAACTGCCATTAGAGCAAGAAGCCTCGTTTCCCAAACAGCACTTAATTTGCAAGATACTAAACCAAAATGTGCATACAGCCACTGTCTGGCTGTGTCATTCCCTTCTTAGGCCCTCAAGAATACATGGCTGGATAACATTACTCTTTAAACAAGAAATTTGCACTGTTAGCCCTTGCTGAAAAATTCAGCATTGTAAAGTACAGTTTAAAAATCATTAAAATCCCAAAGGCTGTGCTAGGATTTCTGTAGTTCATGTTAGAAAGTGATTTCATGAATTCTCCTTACGTGGTATTTTTTCAAACTATGGTAATAGTAGTGAAGTATGGATGTTTTATAAACATTTTCCTGTTTGAAAGGCTGAGCAAACTGGGTCTGTTCAGCCTTGAGAAAATAAAACTCAGAGGGGATCTGATTAATGTTTATAAGTATCTTAAGTGTGGAAGTCAAAAGGATGTGGGCAACCTCTTTTCAGCAGTCTGTGAGGACAGGACAAGGGGAAAGAGCTATAAACTGGAGCACTGGAAGTTCCACACCAATATGTGAAGGAACTTCTTCACAGTGCACAGTGCACAGTGATCTGTGCACTGGAACAGGCTGCCCAGGGGGGTTGTGGATTCTCCTTCTCTGGAGATATTCAAGACCGAGCATGGGAATGCTGTTAAGAGGTTAAGGTGGAGATTTGCATGGAAGCATGGAAGATTTGGAGATGCTCTCATGGCGGAGGAGGCAAATTACTTATAACAACAGGAGAAAGGATTCAAGAGAGATCAGAAGACCCAAGTCATTTGAAAGTATGAAGAGATCTGTGATGATGCCACTAATGCCATCAGTCTCTGACATGGCTAAATCAAAGCAAGCCCTGTCATATTTATTAGCTTGTACTGCACAATTAGATTATAGCATTGATTTAACCTTTGAGAGAGACACCAGGAAAACAGCTTAAGTAATATGAAGCAAAAATGTGACATTTTGGTTTCATGATCTTTGTCCCATAAACACTGCATTTTCCACGCATGGAATACCATGAAATTACGAACCAAATTCTAACTGATTAACTTGATTGAGAAACCACTTCATTTAATATTATGGGAAGATAACCTGCACAAAGGCTGGGAAAAATTAAATGGCAAAATGTGTTTCTTCCTCCTGTTTATAGCCGTGTGACACACGGTTTGAGTTTCAGGGTTGGCTGCACAAGTTAATTCTATGACTTGATTTTGTCTCCATTTGGTTGGATGGTGCTCAATGCAGTAATAATTTTGTAATATAATTAGAGGCAAATTCAGTCCTATTTACAATGGTGAATTACAAATTCATCTCTAGGATGCTTACTTCAATGTTTTACAGCATTCATGGTCCATTTAAGTTGTGATGGCTGATCCTTAGCTAGAAAAAGCTGGCATAGTTCTAGGATCCTACTCACTGGGTTATCGTGGTATAGTGCCAGGGGAGAATGTGGCATTACACTTTTGTATCTTAAAGAATCACAAAAAATGTCCTTGAAAATATATATGGAAATAATTTAAAATATAGTAATGACTTACCCGATACATTCTCATCAAAGATTAATAGCTCTTCATTTGTGGAATGTGATGAATTTGTTGTGCAACATAAGTTGTTCATCTAAAGATAGCTCCATTTGTTTAGCTAGATTTTAAATATTATTTTTCTTCACAGCACACAGAACCACACAAAATAAGCATTAGAAATGTATGATTGAAATTATAACATCAAATACTATCAGATTAAAAACAAGCCAACATAGCTGACACACCACAGCATCTATTAATAGGTCTGAGTCCCTTTTGCAATGTCAACTGTAACATTAATCCTTGTTTTAGATCACAGCGTCTCAAATATCAGCTGCTACTAGTTGTACAGTTCTCTTTCAGTTTATATCAGAGAGCCCAATGGAGTCTTTCGAAGGACCCAGTCAGGTTAGCAAGGCTAACTTATTAGAAGTCCCTACTGTAAACGATTACTTTTCTGAAGATGAAGATGTTAAACCTGACATTAAACACCGTTTCTCTCCACTTCCCCGAAGGCGGAATTCTGCTTCTTCAGAGGAAGAGGAGGCAGATGCCCCTACCACCATTGCAAGAAAGGTTTCATTTGCTGATGCATTTGGGTTTGATCTTGTGTCTGTTAAAGAGTTTGATACCTGGGAAATTCCAAATATAGCACAAAACAATGACTTAGAAGATGAAGCTTTCCCTCAAGAGGAATTTTTTTTAACTCAGCTATTTACATTACCTACTTCCCAAGAAGAAGTTTTGCAAAAAGTGCGAGAACATAAAGTACTGTTGGAGTCAATTGTGTTCCTGCCTGGGATTACCTGTATGAACGGCATTATACGAGTCCTCAATGTATCTTTTGAAAAATTCGTGTATGTTCGAATGACACTGGATGACTGGGTCAGTTATTATGATATCCTAGCAGAGTTCATGCCTAATTCTTGTGGCAGTGAAACTGACCAGTTCTGCTTTAAGATTTCTTTGGTGCCTCCTTATCAGAGAGATGGAGCCAAAGTGGAATTCTGTATACGATATGAAACATCAATTGGTACCTTCTGGGCAAACAACGACGACAAAAACTACACGCTGATTTGTCACAAGAAAGATACTGTGCCCAAGTTGGATAATAAACCACACAGAGAAAGTGCTGATAGACATCTTAAAGGCTGCTTAAAGACGGCACCAAGCAGGTGAGGTTACGTCTTCTCCGTTTGGTAACTTAAAATAGAGTTGACTAATTCTAACTTTCTAATTGTGGTTGCTGGATTTAAGATTCCAATGCTGCTTTTTAAAAATGATAAATGAGGATAAGAATTTTTTTCAAGAAAATTATTGAATATATCAGGTAGAATTTTCTGTAGACAGTTTGGTGGGGAACAAACATCAATTTTAATACCATGACAAGCATGCCACTCATTTGGAAGGCAATGTGAAGGACTACAAATTATGTGCAGTGCACTGATTTTGATCTCTGAAACATATAAATTGAGCTGACACCAGTGAGCTGGTAAGCCTAGTTTGTTCTAGTGGTAGCTGTACTGTTAAAACACTTCATATTCAGTCTCTTGGTAAGTCTACAGGAGTTTAACAGCAAAAAATGTGATTCTGGATTTTCACAAAATTTGTTTTGTATTTCATTCTCAACATCTCACCAAAAAGAAAAATGACAGTAGTGGTTCAGGAAGCTGGTAATTCAAGGAAGGGTCCTACTGCAATTAGAATAGCGAATACAAACTTTTCTGCAATTGTCTGGTCTGTTCTGTAAGTGGTACCTTAAAGTAGCAAATCTGCCTTCCATTTCTTGATATTTTTATTTCACAAAATGAAATGAATAAAGATTTATAAAGCATAGTTTATAGCATATTAAAAAGTATATATACATCAATTAAATGTAGTATGCTCCTAACTGAAAAGTGGCAGTACTTAACATATAACTTGGCCCCATGTAAAGAGATAAGCTCAGGAATAACATCTTTTAGATTCCTACTCTGTTTCTAACACCTTTTCTTTCTTCTCTGTAAGTAGAGAAATGTTGATCATGAAAATCTAATTCTCAGGTTTTTGCTCAGTGTTTTTCCTATAAATCTGTAGATTTTGCAGAACTAGATATGTTACTTGCAGTGTCCTCTGCTCCCAGAACTGAATTTATGTTGCGTATTTAGTTCCTGTAGTCTTACCAAGACAGTGCTGTTTGATTTGTCAGGTTTTAACTGCCTGTGCTCTTCCACTGAACTGAACTAGTGGGGAAGGGGAAATAAAACCACAGCAGTGGTTGCAGTTTGAGGAGTGAGGAGGTCTCCAGGGCTTCCCCCAGCTGAGCCTCCCTGCCCTTTCTACTTCTGAAGGCCAAGTTTGCTGTGCTGAGAGCCTCTGGCAGCTCTGATTGCTTGTGAGAGGATGCATGCAATACAACTTAGTGTCTGCATCACCTCCCAATGTAGGACCAGTTCCCTGGGATAACCCAAGGCCCAGATTCATAGCCAGACCACAAACCTCTCCCAGGAGATGTCCCCCAGGCCCTCTCTGGGGCCATCCCACTGATGTTTCCCCAGGGAATATCCTTGTACGTGAGAGAAGAGGGAGTGACACATTTACCTACCGTGCGGCCAGATCCTGACATTTGTGCCTGGTTCTGTACGTTGCATCTGTCCTTCAAGAAGTGTCACCTGATGCACTCAGGGTAAATAAGATAGCCTGAGGTATTCTGTAGAAGGGCCTTGATATCAGATAACGCAGGCATATGCAGGCAGTGTGATTTCAGCCTGAGTTCAGGTAGCTCACATGGAGGAGATGGACACAGATGGCTGAGTCTTCATTTAAGGGGTCCTGGGCTTCCAGCTGTGTTTGGGTCTGACCTGCACATTTAGATACAATTGGGCAGTTGAAGTCAAGTGGTGACAAATTGTTTAATTCCCTTAAAACTCTAAAGTGACATGTTTGGTGTTAGTGTAGGTTGTAGCAATATTTAATCTTGAAACCACTCTTCTGCATGTATATAATGAATGCATCATAGGTAATTTAGGCACAGAGATATGTAAAAAATAGGAAAGGAGATAATATGCTATTTCTTAGCATAAAATTAATCACCTTGTTCCCTACCAAAGATGTGAAGTTGCATCCCTCCACATGAGAATGCAGAGGAATGTATGTATGTGTGTGCTGTGTGCACATGTGTACCTATACATTTATGCACATGCATATTTGTTCATATATACTCATGTGCACACATGACAATTTGCGATAGAAAAGTAATATTCTTGTTTACATTAAATTCTATTACACATTTTTGGCAAATGCTTACTAACACACACCTTCAAGACCTTTTAGTGGCGGAAGGATGTAAATATACCTCAGAATAAATTCAAAAATGAGCCGAAAGTATTTCTGAAATAAGGTTTCAGTGGTCGCCATGGCTTCTGAAAGACAGTTCTGGCAGATTGCAATCCAGGACCAATTTTATGCTACAGGGACTTCATTGACTTCACAGGAGTTACAGCTTTCACCAGTGTAAATGAGGTCAGCATCAGGGACTTTCGTTTCAAAGGAACTAAGATGCCAACCTCCATTGCTCACTTGTTTTTCAAAGTGTCTTTGTACATGTTGCCCCTTTGAGTGAGGAGGAACACCCTGCAGACATCTGCAAAAGTACCTCATTATTCTCCTTCAGACCCTCATTAAAACTTCTTTGCTTTGATGTCTATAAAAAAGCTCAAGAAAAACAAACTCCCCAAAATTGGCAAAGTGAAGCTGCTGATGTGCTGTGACTACTTCATATCATGTTGAACAGTGCTGTCTGTTTCCCTGCTTTCCTCCATCAGCCTGTCTCTCTCACCTCTTGTTCTACGCTCAAATTATAAACTCTGCAGAGTGTATATATCCTCTAATGCATGTATATAGAACATTTAGTAAAGTGGGGTGCTGGACCATTACTAGGTTGTCCTAGGAGCTGCAGCAAGGCAAGTCAATATACAGAGAAGCAATAATTTTATAAATAGATCACACAATGAAAACCCAGGTAAGGAATATTGCTGTTCATGTCCACAAAGTAGGCACCTAATTTGATGATTTCTTTATAATAACCTAGATACAAGGATATTTAAAAACAGCATTTATTTAGGACCCTTGCTCAATTTTAGAAACTTGTTATCATTTTTTTTTAAACTTAGCTCTGTGATATTTATCCTTTCTCTTAAAATAAGTGATTTACCTCTTAAGTTATAAAACTAGGACTGTTCAAGAATTATGGTTGTTTTTTTTTTAATACAGATAGTCTGATCCATTCTAGGGCATAGCTGTGTGGCTCATTACATGTCATTAATAGGGATTATTTGTGTTAGTTAAGTGAAAGGAATAATATGCACTTTTAGAGGAAGTTACTGAGGAAACACAATGAAACTGTGCCCGGTTGCCCTTAAGAACATGAGCCAGGACAAAGCTGTGTGAATAAGGGCAATCAGATGGCTTCTGACATAATTATTTAAAAATGAAATAAAACTGCACTCAACTCTCAAAAGTCACACCTGAAAAAATTGATAGCGAAAGGCAAAACTAATTCTGCATGCACTAATTAATGTTGAAAGGTACTTAGATTCAGATGATCAAAACCACATGCCTATTCATTCCATGTTTCATTTGCCTTGGTTTCTATGTCTAGACATGAAAAACTTTCGTAAAATATTTGCCTCTCATTGTATTTTTCCAAGCTAAAATTCTCTTCAACATAAATTTTAACAGCTTTTGTCGTTTTCCAAAAATCCTGAAAAGATTCACAGGTACAAAATGTAGTTTGGAAAAATAATATTTGAATTAGTTACATTACCTTTTACTCTATCTGAAAGTGTGCATTTAAATTATAAATACTCACAGATATATACTTGGGGGAAAAAAAAATTGACTCCCAAAGATTTGAAAGCTGCTACTGGAAAAAAAGAGAGCTTCTGTCAGAATACAATTCGAATTTCTGTCATATAAACTACATCTGAACAAGTGGAAAAATGTAACTGAATTTTATCAACTGTACTGTACCACAAGATTATGTTATGGAACACAGCCTCCTCCATTTGCTGATCAGAGTAGGACTGGCTACGTGTTGCATGAAGCAAACCCCTGTAAATCATGGTGCACGTGCATGGCACAGTGATAACGACCTGCAAACTGTTTCCCTGTCACTGGTGACGCTGAGCCCTATTTTGGTGCCTGGTTCTGATTTGCCATCTGTCCAGAGAGTAGCAGAAATGATAGCACCAGGAAAATGGCTGATAAGTGTGAGGAATATGAGGAACATTTCGCAAAAGGCTAAAATGGATAGTTGGACTCCTGTTCTCTGAGAAGCAAGGGAAAGCTAGTATGTTTTTCATAACTGTTAGAGTTACCCCCTTTTAGTTCTTTCAGCCTACAGGTGTATCACTTTGATGTCCTGTGCTTTTTAATAATTGCTGGACTGTACCTTTACCCGAATGGTATTACATCAATTTACTTTCCTCTGTGATGACTCTTTAAAACAGAATATAAAACTGGGTGATGTTTTGTACAAGAGCTGCTCTGTGTACCAGGCACGATAGGAAGGAAGAGATTAAAAACCCCTGGCCTGTAGTCCATCAAAGCTGGTTTCAGACGTATAAATACTGAATGCAATTGTCAGTGAGAGATTTTTTTCTGTGTACATGTAATCTTCTGCCTTCAGCTCCAGTCTCATCTGCTTTCTGATGGAAAGTTAAAGGAATTATATTGCTGAAGGAAGATATAGATACGTGAGTCACCAATGACTTTTGCAACACACATACACATAGACAAAAAGAAAGAAAAGAAAAAAAAAAAAAAAAAAAAGGACAATGATATCCTGGGCTGTATTAAGCAAAGTATTGCCAACAGGTCAAAGGAGGCAATCCTTCCCTTTGCTTAGTGTTGGTGAGGCCACAGCGGGAGTGCTATGTTCAGTTCTGGGCTCTTCAGTACAAAAAAGACATGGACACACTCTGGAAAGAGTCCAAAGGAGATCCATGAACATGGTAAAGAGACTGGAACACATTTTCTGTGAGGAGAGGCTGAGAGTGCTGGGAGAAGCTGGGAAAGGATGGTTCATCCTGAAGAAGAAGATGGGGGGAATCTCCTCAATGCATATAAATACCTGGAAGGAGTGTGCAAAGAGAACGGAGGCTGGCTCGTTTTGGTGATGCCCAGTGAAAGGATA